AGGTAGATTTAATTAATACAATTTTGTGGATTGTAATATTTTACATAATTTTATTAATAAAATTATAAAAATATTGTAATTTTTAAACTTTTACTTAGTAAATCTCTTTTTAGTTTCTAAATAAAGTTGTAGAATAGAGTCTTGCAATTAAAATAGCAAGTAAAATATTAAAATCTGTTTAGTATATCATGAGATATAAGTATTTTAGTCTTCACAACTATATGCTTTCTTTTTTATTTAAAAGAATAATAAATTTATAATTTGGCTCAAAAAAAATTCTTAATTTTGGCCAGAATTTAATAATTTTGGCTAGAATTATACCTGATACTTTGGCTGACCCACCCACCCACCCAAAAATCAGCTGATTTCTGGAAGCTCCCTTACTCATTTTACTATCATCATGATTTCTATTTTGATGATGTATGAAAGTCTTTTGTTCATTTATTGTTACTTTATTTGAGTTGTTACCATCACATTTGTTATTTTCGCTATTTTTTTCATTTTACTACTAAATCTAACATCAACTTTCTCTTTTGTCTCTAACTCATTCACCTTAATACCTTTGTAGAATTTTCGATCTTCTTTCAAGTATTTCTTGGCATCTTTATCCACAGATCTAAGAAATCATACATACCGAACTTCATCACACAGATCCGTATCCTTTTTCTTTTTCTTGTGATTATTCTTCTTTCGATTTTCACACTGATTCTTCTCTTTTATTTCTTTCACAAGTGTTTGCAATGGGCAACATCAAGCCAAGTGCCCCAGGTGCTAACATACGTAATACAGTCAAGGCCTCCATTTTTGTTGTTTCGTCAGTACAACATTTAGGTTATTCATAACCTTCTTTATGACAATTTTTATAACTCTTTCAACCACCAATATCAGAAAGTCTTCACCACCTTTCATTTATTTTGTTTACCACAATGTTCTTTCTTTTATATCACTTGAACTATATGTTTACTCCACAATTCGCTTGATTACTGAATTTTTAAAATACAGCTTTATCTACAAAGTATAAGACCAATACTTTAATTAATTTAGTGAGTAGACTTTTGTCTACCCAGGTCCTTGTATCACGGAGTTATCTAAACTACCATGTACTTGCGGGTCTTTACTATTAATTTACACTTGCTTGGCTAATTACAATGACTGGAGTATCGTACAGGTACTCCAATATCCATTTCAATACTTCAATTCATATAGACATCCACTTAGTGTATATATTAAAACTGTCTAAGCTTTATTATTATAAATATTACATAATCTAACCTGGATATTAATATATCCAGTTATACATATTAGACTATCTACAATTAGACTTTTAATTAAATCCTGCATTATGCAAATTCCGATCACGCTATCAATACACCCCGATCGTGATCGAACCTAGCATCACACAAACCTGGGGTATCAAATTAAACTGTGACACTTATTATTATTATCAATTTTAGAATAACTATAATAAGTCATAGTGAAAGTTAGTAATAATGAAAGGCAAATTGCTTATATAATATATATATATTTAGTAGTTATTTAGTTATATATCAAAGATTGAATAACAAACATCAATAGTATAGCAAATATTCTATTAGCACAAATAGACATTTATTCTGACAAAACAAAAATCTTATAACAATGCCAAACTTAATAGCAAATATTAGTAGAAGTAAATGGATTTAAGTAATAATATATCTTATGAACAATTACTAACTATGCAATATATATGTTCTTGCGAATTGTTAATATATGTATTTATTTAGCATTTATGAAAATATAGTTACTCAGAAATTTATAGTATAAAGTTAACTAAAGATTTGATTTGTTAAATCTATCTGTTATTCAATTATAGTATCTGATTATTTAGTAACTATATAGATATTTGGTTTGTTTTACAGATCAGTTAATAGTTTATAAAAATTTCTTTTGATAGATTAAACAATATTAGTAAAGAAGAATTTAATGTAGAATTCATAGCAGTCTGGTTAGATAGCATACAATTAGTTTTGAATAATAATAAAAAATATACATGATTACATATACAGTTGAGCTTAGGGCTTTCCTATTTTAATTTCTAAAATAACTAGTAATACAAAGTTTTAAACGATAGTATCAAATATACTTTTATTTGTTATAAATATATTTTATCACATAATATTATTGATATACCCTTTCGTTATATATTATTCAAAATATGGCATTATGTGATCACAGAGGGTGTAGCAGGATTCTGCATGGGTGTAGAAATATCAGTTCTCTTTGTTTAATAATAATTATATTTTTTTATAATAAAATTATTAATTAGAAATTTACATTATATTCCAATGATAATACAAAATAACTTCAAACATTTTCATATTAAAATATATAAAATTTTTTTAAAGGTAATTGTAAATAGGTTTAAAATTATCAGAAGCATAAATTCATTGCCTCTAATGGAATAATATTGGACTTAGGAAAAATGTGACCAGTTTTTGTGTTTTATCTTGTTGTATCTATTTTTAGATCAAATGATCAATTTATCTAAATTTGCCTGTTCTATTTTAGCTAATAGCTAAATAAATAAATTTCTAGCTCTCGACATTTAACAGTTTCTGTTTTCTTAGTTAATTAAAATGATATGTTTAGTTATATTTATTTATGTATTGCCATATGCCTCACTTTAGCAATTTGCAGACGCATTAAAGACATTTTTGCAAGAAACTATATAGATTATATAACAAAAATGAATTCTAATATAATTTTTTTAAACAAAAATTTATTGTGACTATAGACTAATATGTTTTATACTAATAAAAAAAATATAGCAAAATCAGCCAATTCATACTATATTTCAAAACAAGAAAGTATATTTGATGCAAAAAATTATCAAGATTTCAATTCTAGTAAACAATGTAAAAAAATTAAAGATAGAAGTGGGGTGGGTAAAAAAAAACAATAAAAAAAATGTTGCGCTATAATGTACAAAGTCATAATCCAGTAAATTGGCTAAAATTTGTCAATTTGCTTAAAAATATAATATTCAAACTTTATAAAAGTAAGTATGAAAACTACTTCAATCCAGCATATATATGGTTCTACTTAGAGATTGAAACCATTTAAAATTTTCTTACCTGTTTAACCATATTAACCATTTAATTTATCCAGCATCAAAATTGTCCTGGCCGTGATAAACATAATTTGGCCTGACACTATAAAAATTTTTATGTGATTAAATGATACCCTAGTTCTACCTTGAAATCTCGACATACATAATGTCAATTAAGATAGAATCCTGAAAAGCCAAAATCCCGACTAAGACAGAATCCTGACAGTTTAAAATCCTGATATTCAAAATCCCAAAGGTCAAAATCTAATTTGATATGTAATCTGAGATTTATCCATTGGGATTTTGGATATCAGGAATTTGTCTCTGTTATTTTCAAAATTTTGTCTTGTCATAATCTTGTCTTTTTCAGAATTATGCTTATTGTGATTATAATCTGTCAGGATTTTGGGATCCAAAGTAGAATCCATGTGTATAGTGGAATTACCAATACAGTACACCCTCTCAAAACTTATTCTGTCAAAACCGATAACCTGCTATAACTGATAAAAAATTGATCCATCATGTCTGTTCCATAATTAAAACCCAATAACCTGCCATTTCTGATAACCGATACCCAAAAGACCAGATATCTATAAGATATCAGTTTTGATAGGTAATATAAATTGATTTGATTGGCTAAGATCGGGTATTGTGCAACAGATTATATATATAAGAAATATAATCCAGCCAATTAAATTTATCTGTGATCATGTGACAGCAGGCTATAATTAATTTATAAACCCGATAACCTCTCAAAACCGATATAAAAGCTATCCACCATGTATATCAAATTTGAGAGGGTGTACTGTATTTTATATTATGCAACCAATAGTACTTTGATGTTGTGGAACTAATAATACTTTGAAACATATATATGTTGTGAAATTAATAATATTTTGATCTATATGTGTAAACTAAATTAATATAAATAATGATAAAAAAAAAACTTGATTAATATCTGTATAGTGGAATTAATAATATCTTTATATGTAGAATAATGGTGACAGAAAAAATTCATGATCAGATGATTTCAGACTGTTCCTGACCCAGGGACCAGTAAAAATTTTTGTGTTATACAAAATCTTTATCTACATTATTGCAAAAATTTGTATTAATAAATTAACTTTATTTCTTTTTTGGAAAATATCAGAAATTACTCGAAATTTTGTTCTGATCTTTCTTGTCTTTTATTCCTTAATCTGTATGTAAATTCAGGACAAATTTGCTCCAAATTTTGTAAAATAATTTTTATCCACTCAAACTATAATAAATACCATAAATTGGTTATAACTCAATTAAAATACAAATATTTAATAAATTTATTTACTTTTTACTATAAAAATCTTTAAAACAATTGGATCTTACTTAGAGCAAAAAGAGGTATATTATATTTAATATACAAAATTGCATTGAGAAATTGCATTACTTTTTTTTTTTTTATCTTTATCATAATTTTTAATTATAAAATAGTAGCACAAATATAATTCTTTTTGTTTCTTTTATTTTGCTAAATGATTCTCTAATAAAAATAGCTTACAGGTAGATTAAAATTAAAGTGCTTAATATTATTAATAGCTTTTACTTATTCAAATTTTAAAAAATTAATTTTTAGATGGTTATTAAATCTTACTGTTATCATCTACAGCAAAGATGTATCAACTTAAGTGTTACAGTGATGTATGCGTTCATAGTGATACAAACAATAGGGTCTATTATTAATAAATTTTGGAGGTGGTATGGAAAATTTGCCAGGAATTAGAAATTCGGGGCAAATTTGCCCTGAATACGGATTAAGGAATACACTTTCCCATATTATTAACCAATCAAATTTATAAAAAATCATGTGAATTTTATTTGCATATCAATATGTATTAATTTATATGTAATAGTTATGAGGCACAAAGTGCCAAATAACTGAGTTATTTGCTGTATGCTATTTGATTGGTCGATTTAAGCACCGAAGGTGCTTGAAATTCGACCAGTCAAATCATATGGCAAATAATGGTAAGGTACAATAGCGTTCTAATACTAGTAAAGCGCGATAGCGCTTTACTAGTATTAGAACAACTATTGTACCGTAGTTATGAGTACTTTGTGCTTGAATAACTGGGTTATTCAGCATTTATATTTATTGGATTTTGCATACCAACTGTTAGCCGGCATTTGACATTTTATAATTTTTATGCATATGAGTTACACATATTGTTCGAATATATTTTAAATCTGGAACGAATTTAAAATATTTTGGATAACATGTGTAACTCATGTGCATAAAAATTATAAAATGTCAAATGCCGGCTAACAGTTGGTAAATGCAAAATCCAACAAATAGAAAATGCCGTATAAAAATTTTTACAGGTCTCGGTATCATAAATAATGCAACACGTAATTTGTGATACATGCACGCATATCTTTACATTGGCAATAATAATAACTTAAAATTTAACATCAAAAAAAGGTACGTACGTACATACGTACCATTTACGAGTAAAGTAAAAGGATAAGTCCAGAATTGCATGAAATAATAGCAATTAACCAAAAATTTTTTTGTAGCATTACAGATTTACAAATAAATAATTTAACTTGCTCTACATAGCATTTTTAGAAAAATAGTATGAATCCAACGCATCCAGAAAATGTGCTAAATTGGTACGTAGATCAGACTAATATATGCATCTAATTATTTCTGCATCTTGTTAAGTCATCCAATAAGC